ATGATACGATTATGAAGTAGTTTAAATTAGTTGAAATAATTCTCTTGGGATAATTCATTATAATGTAAATGTTTACCCATCACGCCATTTATCTCTCAATCGTCATCAAAATCTTTATTGAATATTATTTAAAATCAATCTAAGTTATAAGATAACTAAGGCAAGAAGAAAAAATTTAAATCTATAAAGTCTCTGAATAACTGATGCTCGAGTTCATAAGAAGTAGCTCTCGAATGTTAACAAGATATTCAATTCGATTTCTAAAAGTCGTGAATACCTAATTAAACGCGTAACTCTTTTTTAATTTCGTAAACCCAACTTGATCATAGCATCAAATGTGGTATAATAACTGCCTAGACTATAGGCGCTAAAAACACTTCTCGATGTTTCGACGACTTCTATTTCGACGTCTCCAGCTGTCGTCTCCTCGCGAATGTAAAAGACTTAAGGCCCTCCAGTCGAAACGTCGAGTTTTTGTGTATTGTGGGCAGTTGTTATACCATATTTGATGCTATGTTATTTGAAGACGCTGCCACGCTGCTCCATGCACTGACAACTTGGTCATGCATTTTTTTACCTCTCTAAAATACACAATTAACTCCGTAGTGCTAATTCCTTAACTCTGGATTTCCGTAGTTTTCTATATTTTTAGTGTATATTTACAATCGCAGAGTATATATAATTCACGTATACTAGATATGTTGTATAATGCAAACTAGTATACATAAAACTGTAGAGATCTGAAAGAGATTTCTTTATTTTTAGCCCAATGTAAGGTTGAAGTAAAAGTGGAAATGGTTCGCTCTTGGGGAATAGGAATTAATTAAAGGGGTGTAATCAGTGTTATTTTGAAAAATGTTTGGAAACATTTTTTTGTTAGTTATATGTAGGTCAATAAAAGAATTGTTCAACTGGTATAACGTCATAATGATTGTTGATTTAGATACATATTAACCACAAGGGAGAATTGCAACAGCATCTACGCCATGGCGTAGCCAGCGTGACGATTTAGTCATGCTATGGAAATTTTATGTTATTATCTTTATTCATTTTTTTACAAATTTATTGTTTTCACAGTCAATGAACACCAAAATATTAGCATAGCATGAGTAAATTGTCGGGCTGGCTACGCCACTGCATCTGCGCGTTTGTTCATCTGGGAAGTAACTTGATTAATGATTACCCAAACTTCGCATGTCTACGTTTTTCCAAGAACATAAACTATTGGTCATATTTTTGAGATTCTGTGCACGCCTATGGTTGTGGAATGAAATTTTAGTTCTACTGTTATTCAAGGCACAGCAATAGTGGAATAATAGTTTTTCACGTTTTCATTCAGAGTTATTCACTGCTCGAAAAATTTCTAGAAATTCGGGAAATTTCTCAGCATGCATATCCTTTTGAGCTAATGCGGCAACAACTGCCTAAATTAGACAAAAGAGTTCTCCACGTACTTCTCGACTTAAGGAACTTCGTCAGGGTTAGTTTGAAAGAAATTAAGGGAGAACACATTTTTATACTATAGTATGGGGGCAAAACGCGTGATAATGGGCCATTATGAAATAAAAATCTGAAAGGCCTAATTATGGGCTAAAAATAGCCCGCAATTAAAGAATTCGAAAACTGATCTGGCAAAGGCAATATATTACATTCCATTTTCGTGCAACTGAAAACCTGACCTCCAAGTCTGTGAATGCAAGGGCGTAGCGTTCAGGGGTTGCTACACCACTCCTAAATAGGTATGAACCAATGTGTTCCGAATATTTTTATCGTGCCGAAAAGTGATTAGAGGTTATGGGAAAAGGTATCTCGGAATCACTCTCCAGAAGAATATGGAGCCCAAATATCAGTTCAGGAATCGGCGAAAGAGCATGTTTTATATTAGCCAATGCCACAAGGGAATGTGCTATTGCCTGGGCTCTGTTCTGGAAGCTAACTGACTCCCGCAGCTACCTCATATATTCTTCCTTCTTCTCGAGCTACACTAAGAGGTCTATCCTTCTTTCGCAATTCCTTCGTTTTTGTCGCTTTTATGATTTAAATGAGGACTTCCAGTCGAAATGTTTCAAGATTCTTTGTCGATCGTAGCTACCCATCTAAAGGCTGATTTCTATATTTAATCGTTACGCTCGCATGAGTCGTTCCGATCGCTAGAAAAATTTCGTAACGATCGTGATCGCTGACATGGCTGAGATCTATCGCAACGATCAGGATCGTTACGATCATCGTGGTCGCCGGTATCGCCAGCTAGCTAATTGATTTCCATTTAGTCTCTACGGTCACCAGTAATTTTTTTTTAGTGATTGTAATGACTGAAGCCATCGTGCGATTCAATGGGAACCAGCCTTAAGGCTATCTTAACTTATTGGCACTACATGCCTTATCACATATGTACATCGCACATGTGCCCTATACTATTGTGTCTACATGAATCGTGGCCATGCGGTGGCCACGATCGTTGTTTACATGATCTGCATGTAAACCCCGAACATACACCGCACACATACCCTGTCTATGTTGTCAAAGTAAAGTAAAAGCAAATTCCGAATAAACAAGACATCTTGCGAATCCAAATATAATTCAAACAAGACACTGATTAAGACTGTAAATTTTCGACTTTTTACAAAGTCATCTCCATTCTGTCTGATTGAAGAAGGCCGTCATGACCACTTTGTGAAATCGACCCGCGATCGTTGGTTTGCTTGTCCAATTCTCTTCCAATCAAGCTACTAGGTCAAGACGAATATGTGATATTTCGGATCTAGTCCCTTCCATATTTATGTAAAAACAAGTCGTGCGGATATTGTTCTATTTTATACGTAGCCTAACATTGATGCATAATTTAAAACTGAAATATTGGATTACTTAAATTAACTGAATTCAATTGGCGTGTTTCTAAGGACTGAATATCGAGCAATGCTGTACTACAAAGCGAAGTAACCTGTGTTTTTATTGTTACTTGACCTCTATATTCGCTTTTCAACGCCCAAATTTAGAAGATGGGACAGGCCTTCGAGTATCTATTGAAGATCAACAGAACTCGTGACAATACTAAATCGATTCTATCGACAATGATACAGTCTACACACACACACTTTGGATCTAAATTCGGTTTATTGTTCTTTGGAGATTCCTGCTGCGATAATTAAAAATCTCCCATACTTTGGGAGATTTTGCGCTGTCACATGACAAGCCTTAACCAAGGTCCTCGCGGCAGCGTGGACCATGGAGCGTAGGTAGAAGAGCCTGGCCTCCGAGGTTGGGTATAATGTAGCAGTAAATATATTTTAAATCCAATTTCTTTTTGTTTCCTATGTACGCCCATCTACATGTGCCTAAGTCTTTTTATGGACCAAAAACTCGCCATATGGGTCGGTCTCCCACTGATTATTTCTCGTTCTCCGAAACTCCCACGCCTGTTTCTATTTAACAATTAGACGTCAACGAAGGCGAGAATGAGCTGCATGCATTGCATGGAAATAAATGTTTAAGGGTTAGAGCTGTTGTGAGTGTTTTGTTCACAAATTAATAAACGCACGCGCTGACCATACTATATGAAGGAGAATTCTCAATATTGAAATTTCGAGTTCATTGTATGGTCAGCAAGTGCCTTTATTTTTAAACAAAACACGAACATAAAGTCTCTAACACTTTTTATATACAATCTGAGCTCATTGATTGGTGCATTGAAGATCTTTGCTTCATCGCAAGCCGTTATTTTTTAATAAAGCATGATTTTCAAGGGGTATTACGAATAAATTATGAATCCCATGATCTGTCGCTGTGCAACAAGAAACCACGTGATTGATTTGACCAATCGTGTGAGTAGATTCAGGCCAATGCACGAAGATTGTATATTAAAACGAAATAAATTATCACCTTTATATACATGCAACTTGAGTTTTTTCCGTTTACCGACCGTTATTTCATATCGACAAACCATTAATCACCGTTTAAAGCACCTTTATTGCTTTTCTTTGCATATACACAAGAGATGAATGGCAACATCTTTGTCAGACTCCTTCTCGATAGCAGATTTTTCTATATCACTCAATTGAACTAATTTATGCTCTTCATGCAGAAAGACGTAAGGCAATAATTGAATATGGGTTAGATTGTGCATGTGTCCAGAAAAGTCCAAAACATGCATATACATATGCATGTTTTGAGCCCAACTATACACTATAACATGATGACTAATGTTTTATTAGCTGCTAGTAAGGTACAACTCGTCACTCGAGCAACGTACGGAAAAGACGTTGCCCAACGCTTTTGGTCATTGAGAGCCTCGAACCTGATATCCAACACAACGATATAAATGTATTATACATTATATAATATTAATATATAAATAACATTGACGGAACTGTTGAATTGCATTATATCAGGTTATTTTCAAACACAAAAATTTCGTTATGCACTTGGGTCACAAGAAATATGTACATGCATATGTACCACATACATGCAGAATACAACACAAATTTAGATGTTCTATATCTTCTATAGACACGTATGACATAGCTTGTTAATATTTATTGCTATAGTTTAACATTGTATGTCTTCTTCCCAGTTGGTTCTGTAAGTAGATTGATATATCAATATATTTGTGTCGGATATCAGTGGGTGGGCTCCAAATTTACATAATCGATCAGTATCGTCTTTCCGATGTCCAACTTTTTGCTTTTATAACACTAAAACGAAGGGGAAAGTATCTGAACAACTTCTTGTAATGAACTTCCGATTTATGCATGCATTTGTTTTATTATTTAACACTTCCTGTATAGACTTCCGAGTATAAAAACACGTGTAAAGAATTAGTTAGGGGTTAGTTCTTCAAATAAGCAATAAAGTCAAAACCATTACATTGGCGACGAGGATAAAAGGAAAAAAAAGAAAAAGAAGCGAGAGAACATCTCCAAAGTGAGAATATCAGGCTTTTAGCAAACGGTTAATCGTTGAAGCGTTGAAATCGAAGGCGTATTATCAAGAAATCTATTCGTATGGCAACAAATCTCCCGTCGTTTCCAGCATTCGATATCACCCAAGATCAAGGAGCTTTAGGCCCTCGGTGGAAGAAATACATCGCTAGATTTAGAAATCTCGTCGTAGCGCTGAACATTAACGACAAGAAGCGTCAAAGAGCTTTGCTGTTACACTACGCTGGCGAGCATGTTAACGACATTTTTGACACGCTTCCTGACACAACAGCTACTGACGATGAAAACCCATTCGAAAAGGCAGTAGAGGCCCTTACAGCGTACTTCACACCGAAGAAAAACGTAGTATACGAAGAGTATCAGTTCAGGCAAGCCAAACAAGAACAAGGTGAGAAGTTTATGGCATTTTATACTCGCCTGAAGCAACTTTCGCAGACTTGTGAGTTCACTGACCCTGACCGTGAAATAAAGTCTCAATTAATTCAGCAATGCATATCATCAAAGCTGAGACGGAAAGCCCTTAGCGAGCCTGAAATCGCCCTTCAGAGTTTACTTGATTACGGGAAAACTCTAGAACTAACAGAAACTCAAGTTGCAGACTTGGAAAGTCAAACGAGGGAGAAAGCAGAAGACGTGACTAAACTTAGCCAATATAAGAAATCCAATAATCGATGGAAGACTTCGAATCGTGGGTATGCTAAGACCAGAAAGGAGTATAAGAACAGTGGACCCTCTGGATCTAACTCAAATATCTCGAAATGTCGGAATTGTGGTGGAACGTTTCCGCACAAGGGTGGCAAGACCGCTTGTCCAGCGTACCAGAAGGAGTGTCACAACTGTGGCAAGCGTGGTCACTTTATGTCTGTTTGTCGAAGTGAATCGAAGCAAAAATTGCCGTCCAGACAAAGAGAAAGATTAGCAGCTTTTGGCGAACAGCTCAGCGATAGTGAGGATGACGAAAACACGTTTTGGCTGAATGTCCATAGTGTCAGTGGTCAGCGAGAAGCAAAACACCCCATGTTTAGAGTGAACGTTAGAGGCGTATGGTTGACCCTGATGGCTGACTCCGGGTCTAGCATCAATATCCTTGATGAGAATGATTTCGAGAAACTTGGGGACCGTCCTGAACTCGAACAGACCTCTACTCGTGTCTATCCGTATAAGTCGAACAGACCCCTGAAGATGATTGGGCAGTTCGAGACAATCCTGAAAACCGAACGTGGAGCAACGTCGCGAGAAGTCATGTATGTCACACAAGGAGCAGGCGGATCACTTTTGAGTTGGCAAGCGTCTCAAAAACTCGGTTTGATCTCCACTGTACGACCATTGGAAATGAAACGAGTCCCAAGAAAGGGGACCCAGCGTCTGGTAGAAGAGTATGGAGACCTATTTACTGGCCTTGGAAAGCTGAAAGGTTATCAAGTTCAACTACATATTGATGACAGCATTCAACCCTCCGCCCAACCGCATCGACGCGTTCCATTCCATGTCAGAAAACAACTCGAAGAGCAGCTAGAAGAAGACGAAAAGAACGGTGTCATCGAGCGCGTAGAAGGCCCAACTCCGTGGGTGTCACCAGTAGTCGTAGCGCCAAAGCCTAAACAGCCTGGAAAGATCCGAATGTGTGTCGACATGAGGCAAGCGAACAAGGCCATACAACGTGAGCGTCACATAACACCAACCATTAAAGAAGTGATTGGAGATCTAAACGGAGCGACTGTGTTTAGCAAGCTGGACTTGAATCAAGGCTATAACCAGTTAGAACTTGCGCCTGAATCACGATACATAACGACCTTTAGCACACATGTTGGACTACGAAGATTTACCCGCCTCAATTTCGGAATTTCAAGTGCTGCTGAGATATTTCAGAATGTTATACGTGAAACACTCCGTGGAATACAAGGGGCGATAAACCTCAGTGATGACATCCTTGTCTATGGGAAAACACAAGAGGATCATGATCGAGCCTTAAGAGAAACCTTGCAACGACTTCGGGAAAAAGGAATCACTCTTCATCGAAACAAGTGTGTCTTTTCCAAGGACCGGTTGGAGTTCTTCGGATACATATTTTCCGACAAGGGAGTGGCTGCCGACCCCAAGAAGGTGGAGGCTATTGTTAATCTTCAACCGCCGTCCAATGTTGCAGAAGTACGAAGTCTGCTTGGTATGAGCAATTATTGCTCACGTTTCATTCCCGCGTATGCAACGCTAACGCAACCATTACGAGAGCTCACACAGAAGGATAAGCAATGGGAGTGGACGGAGACCCATGATCGTGCCCTAAACCAGCTCAAGGATGCCCTGGTGAAAGCGCCTGTAACCGCTTACTTCGATCCCGATAAGCCCACCGAGATCAGTGTTGACGCAAGCCCCGTAGGACTTGGTGCGATTCTTATACAGGTTGATCCTGCGACTGGGGAGAAGCATGTAGTTGCGTATGCGAGTAGATCCCTATCATCCGTCGAACAGCGATACAGCCAAACAGAACGAGAAGCACTGGCTGTTGTTTGGGGGTGTGAGTACTTCCATCTATATATATATGGGAAACCAGTAATCGTGGTTACGGATCACAAGCCGCTTCTGGCAATTTACAACAACGCCCGGTCTAAACCGCCAGCGCGAATCGAGAGATGGGCTTTACGCCTACAGCCGTACCAAGTGTCAGTCACTTATGTGAAAGGAGAAGAAAATCCTGCTGACTATATGTCGCGACATCCTGAGAAGGTTATACAGCCCAGCAGTCGCCAGGAACGCGTAGCTGAAGAATTTGTAGATTATATCGCTCACACTTCAACACCCAATGCCTTAAAGCTGGAAGAAATTGCACGAGCCACTTTGCAAGACGCAACTCTTCAAGCTGTCGAGTGTGCTGTTCGTACGAATAACTGGTTTGAACCTGCGAAGAGACTTGACATAAATTATGCAACCTACAAAGCTTTAGAACGAGTTAAAGAAGAGCTGACTATCTCTTCGAAGGCTGGTATCATTCTGAGAAGAACCAGAATTGTTATCCCTGAAGCCATGCAGCAACGCGTAATTGATCTTGCCCATGAGGGTCATCAGGGGATTGCGAAGACAAAGTCCCTATTGCGCGAGAAAGTTTGGTTCGCTGGTATAGATAGTGCAGTCGAAAAGAAAGTCAAATCCTGCCTTGCGTGTCAAGCAAGCACACCTGAAACGAAGCGGGAACCACTTCAAATGTCACCGCTACCCGAAGGACCTTGGAAAGAAGTGAGTGTTGACTTTAAAGAATTGTCCGGGGGAGGATATCTACTCGTCATTTATGATGATTATTCGAGGTATCCAGTCGTGGAAGTGGTAACATCCGTGTCTTCTAAAGTCGTTATCCCACGTTTGAACAAGATTTTCGCAGAGTTTGGTATTCCAGAAACAATGCGTTCGGACAATGGCCCTCCGTTTAACGGGAAAGACTTTGAGAAGTTCGCCCTCACTCTCGGAGTTAAACACCGAAAGGTCATGCCTTTATGGCCACGTGCCAATGGGGAGGTTGAGAGGTTGATGCGAACTTTGAAGAAAGCCATCGAAGCAGCTAAGGTAGATCAACGCCCATGGAAGGACGAACTTTGTGAGTTTCTTCGTAACTATAGAGCAACACCCCACTCAACGACGGGTAAACCTCCTGCAACTGTTATGTTTGGCCGTCCCGTGCGTGTAAAATTACCTGAAGCACCGCAGAGCAGGAAAGATCCCGCATCCATCCAACGTCGTGACGAACTGGCAAAGAAGAAGATGAAATACTATGCTGATGACAAGTCTAATGCGAAACCCAGAGATTTAACTGAGGGTGATAAGGTTTTGGTCAAGCGTGATCCCTCCTACAAGTCCGGTATTCCTTATGACCCTAAGCCCTACGTGGTGACTCGAAGGAAAGGCACGATGATCACAGCCAAGAGGGAAGGCAAGGACATAACGCGGAATTCTTCCTTCTTTAAACAGGTGCCATTAGCTGATCCCATAACTGTAGAGTCTGATATGGATGACAGTATTTCCCTACCATCACAACTTAACCCTGCGGTAGATCCATCAGATCAGCAGCAACGCCGCTATCCTTTAAGGAGTTCCCGACGACCACCAGCACATCTTAGGGACTATGTTTGACATTGTCAGTTATGTTAAATTGAATTTCATATTATTTATATTATTTATTAGTATTTTATATTATTTATAACATTTTATAGTTATTTAATGAGTTTGTAATATAGTTAGTTAATATCTTTCAACGTAGTTACATTTTGTCCGAAGAGGGGAGAAGTGTAATGAACTTCCGATTTATGCATGCATTTGTTTTATTATTTAACACTTCCTGTATAGACTTCCGAGTATAAAAACACGTGTAAAGAATTAGTTAGGGGTTAGTTCTTCAAATAAGCAATAAAGTCAAAACCATTACACTTCTCCCGACCTTTTTACTGCATATGCGGTTCTGCGGTAATTGCGGCAATTTCTCTGGGGTTTTAATAACACTGTCGGAATTGTTGAATTGCGTTATGGCATATAGACAAACGTCGGAAGTGCTGAACTGCATAATTTATAAATTTTTGATATTATGCAAATGTTTGATATATAGCGATAAGGCCACAAGAGCCACCATTCATTAACTAGCTGAAGTTCGAAAGTTTCGTAGATCTTCACTGTTGAAGCGATTGAGGTACGTAAGTTTATTTCAATGTTGAAAAATTTTACGCTCAATTTTAATAATAGAATGGTTTAAAGATTTCGCGCTATTTAGCTACACGTATAGGCAGACGTACAATATTCTGAAAAAGGACTGTTCTGTTATATTATTTTCCTCAATACATGTTTTCTGCCCCCCACCTTTATCCTTATTCCTCGACGTAATTATTCCTTCACACATCTAGCAAAAATGGATTTTCGTCTGTGTCTGTTACTGGTTATCTTCGTGGCAGTTTTCGGCGTTGATGGTCGAAAACAAGTTAATAAAGGTAAGGATTTGTTATCTGTATTAAAGAAGAGTCATACATGAATGCGTGATGGAGGAGGAACTAGGTAATCCTTTCCATTCCAAAATCAAAAGATGTTGACGAAATAAGTTCCCGTGGGCAAGCATTATCAGTGTGCGCGCACTTGGAGAAATAGGTTTAAAAATATAATTCAGTTCACATGATCGATGATCCCTATTTTAACCTGAGCAACAATTATACCAACTGGAACGATATAGCCTTATTTTGGTGTGAAAGTCTGTCTTTTTGAGGAGGGCCGAAAGAATTAGTGCCTTAATTTCGTTAAGTTTTGACGAATCCCTAATCTTTATTGGCAACGTCCTACAGCAAAAGATTATCAAATCCTCTTATACATTCATTCACCAATTTCTTCGGTAAAATTTGCATCGGAATGGCTTAAATATCAACAAGAGAATCGTATGAATTAATCTTAAATTCTAACACTAAATTTCAAAACAAATCCGCCGCAGTACTTTGTTGTTTTGTGTTTGCTTATAATTGTACCAAATTCATGCAGAGCGCGTGCGTATTTCTTTTGTGTAAACTGGAAGTCGAGTCCGTATATAAATAAACTGTTTCTTTAAACGTCTATATTTTATTAATTTTTTACAATAAACTCCACGTTAAATGAGAATTAATTACCCTGATCTTATTTATCTCCAACCTGGCAAATTGTATACATATTAAATCATATGGTGCATTATATTATAACATATTGTAGGTGACAAGCCGTTGAAAAGAATACTTCTGGAATGCGAACAAGAAGGTGGTAGGTGTGTTCTAACGCCACAGGATGTTCCCGTTGACTGTCCTATAGGATACTACTACTGCGGCCGCAAGGGTTGTCCTACTAATTACGTGTGCTGCTGGTAGGTATTATTTCGTATGCTATGAGTGTATTTTGTACAAAGAAACTTTTTTACTAATTTTTTTATGCTCGCAACTATTTGAAGAGAAAGTCGACGAATTATAAATAATACCATCATGACGTGCGAGGCTGCTAACTCTACTTTAGGCTTGGCGTTTGCTGATTTCATATTGTCGCCATGGACGTTTTTATTCTGCCCGTGCATGGACAATAACCGGCCATGCATGGCTCAATTGTGAGCCAACTATAACTCATTCGTCTAATTCACACCTTATTTTACGATACGTATAATTATGAATTACGTGAAATTATTCTCTTGAAATTATTCTCTTAATAATAAATAAATAATGAATAATAAATAATAATTCTTTATAATGTAAATGTCTACCCATCACGCCTTTTATCTCTCAATCGTCATCAAAATCTTTATTGAATATTATTTAAAATTAATCTGAGTTAGATAAATGAAGGCAGGAATTAGAATTTTAAATCTATAAAGTCTCTGAATAACTGATGCCGGAGTTCATAAGAAGTATAGCTATCGAATGGTGACAAGTTACTCAATTCGATTTCTAAAAGTCGTGAATACCTAAACGCGTAACTCTGTCCTCATTTCGTAAACCCAACTTGATCATAGCATCAAATTAAGTGTGGAATAATAACTGCTTAAAGTAGGCGCCAAAAACACTTCTCGACGTTTTGACTTCCATTTCGACGTCTCCACGTGTCGTCTTCTGGCGAATTTAATTAAACGACTTAAGGCCCTCAAGTCGAAACGTCGAGTTTTTGTATAATATTTTAGGCAGTTGTTATACCACATTTGATGCCACGTTATTTGAAGACACTGCCACGCTGCACCCCTGCCAACTTCGTCATGCATTTTTTTACCTCACTAAAATGCACAATTAACGCCGTAGTTTTAACTCCGTGACTCCGGATTTCCATAGTTTTCTATGTCTTTACGTTATGTTTACAGTCGCCGAGTATAATTCACGTATACTGTTTATATATTTTATAATGCAAACTATAGGTACATAAAACTTTGGAGATCTGAAAAAAATTTATTTATTTTTAGCCCAATATACCGTTGAAGTAAAAGTGGAAATGGTTGGCTCTTGGGGAATAGACATTAAAGGGGTGTAATCAGTGTTATTTTGAAAAATGTTTGGAAACATTTTTTTCTTAGCTATATGTGAGTCAATAAAAGATTGTTCAACTGGTATACCGTCACAATGATTGTTGATTCAGATACATATTAACCACAAGAGATGCTTGCAACAGCATCTGCGCGTTTGTTCATCCGTTCCGGGAAAGTAACTTGATTAATGATTACCCAAACTTCGCATGTCTACGTTTTTCAAAGAACTTAAACTATTGGTCATATTTTTGAGATTCTGTGCACGCGCTGGGAATTTCCCATTCGAGAAGGCTAACGGGTTTGCATGCATGGTGGTTCAATGAAATTTTTGTCGTACGGTAATGCTGGTTGGTAATACAATTCCCATGATTAGAACCAGGTTAACGGAATTTCGATATGTTAGGAGATTATGCATGTTTATGGCAGAAATTTCAAATGTTGCACAATCACAAGCAGACAATTTGATATATAGGCAAGCAGAAAAAACGGGTGCAGAAAGTCTGACTAGCATATGCGCAGTCAACAACTGGCGACAACAACATTAATAACGGCAATGCAACGCTATACAAGTTTATCTTAAAAAGTACATAGTACGCGCGTGCTGATTGGTCGGGAAGCTTGTTTAAATGAATATCAATGTTTAAAAACACCGATCATTCTCGTTGCTCTTTTTTTTTTAATTTAAAAACATACACAAAACCATTGATAGGCTAAAGAGGATTCCCTGCACAACTTATACAACAATATTATCAAACTTAGTTCTGTCATAATTATACTGTTGTTTGCGCCTACAATTTTCATTGCAGTTTGAGTGACCCTGTGAGGCCTTGTTTATATACTTGGGATGACTGTTTACGGAATGTAACACATTTTTGACGAAAGATTTTACAGTTTCTTATGGTCAGATTCATTAATATCAAAATGTCCATTTACTGTAGGCTTGCCGCTATAAATATATAGCTTTAAGGATTCAAGTTCCTTTCACGTTTTTATTCAGAGTTATTCAATGCGCGAGAAATTGCTAGAGTTGCGAGAAAATGCTAAAGATGCATATTTTCCGCATCAATTGCGAAACAAACTGCCTAAATTGGACAAAACACTCCACTTCTCGAATTAAGGGTGTTCGTCAAGAGATCGAGTTACTTTGGAAGAAAATAAGAGAGAACACATGTTTAACATGGGGGGGAAACGCGCGATAATGGGCCAATATGAAACAAAAATCAAAACGTCTGATTGTGGGCTAAAAATAGCCCACAACACAGGAATTCGAAAACTGATCTGGCAAAGGCAATAATATTACATTCCGTTTTCGTGTAAAGAAAACATGCCCTCCAAGTCTGTGGATGCCGGGCGTAGCGTGCAGGGATTACTACACCACTCCAGTTTTGACAAGGTGGTCGGGCTCGTTTGCCTTAAAGAGATATGAACAAATGTGTCCCGAATATTTTTATTGTACCGAAAAGTGATTAGAGGTTATCGCAGAAAATGGCAGGTTTCGCAGAATCACTCTCCAGGAGAATATGGAGCCCAATTATTAAACAATTCAGGGAGTCGTTAAAAGAGCATGTTTTATATTAGCCAATGCCACACAGGAATGTGCTATTATATGCCTGGGTTCTGTTCTGCAAGTCAAATGACTCCCGCAGCAGGCGCAGCTACCACGTATATTCTTCCTTAGCTTCCTCTCGAGTTACATTAAAAGATGTATCATTCTTTCGCAATTCCTTCGTTTTTATCGCCTTTGCTATTTAAACGAGGACTTCCAGACGAAATGTCTCGAGATGAAAACTTTCTTTGCCGATCGTAGCTACCCATCTAAAGGCTGGTTTCCATTTAATCGTTACGATCGCTTCAGTCGTTACGATCGCTAGAAAAATTTTGTAACGTTCGTGATCGATCACGATCGTTGCGATCATCGTGGTCGCTGGGATCGCGAGCTAATTGATTTTCATTTAATCACTACGGTTGCAAGTAATTTTTTTAGCGATCGTAATGACTGAAGCGATCGTGACGATTAAATGGAAACCATGCAGCCTTGAGGCCATCTTCACTTATTGACACTGCCTTATCACATTGTGTACAACACACTTATGTACATCACACATGTGCCCTATACTATCGTGGATACATG